AGAGACAATAGAGAGTCAACACGTTCTCTCCCATCCACGAAATGGCGGATTTGACCGGTGTTCTCCAGGCACTGTGATAGTCCTCTTACGCGGCGAGTCGTTGAACGCAAAAATAGTATCCGGTGGAGCTTGTGACTTTCAGTGGTCAACCTCAGCTAATTGTCAGTAAGTTAAATTCCGTCGTGTCTACGCACGGATGCCCGAGTAGTCCAAGGGGGTAGCCTCAGGTTCTACTGTGCAGTGCATGCGCGGGTTCGAATCCCGCTTCGTGTATTCTGGCTGGTTAATTAATTGCGAGCGCACTGGGCGCGTGCTGTCGGATAGGGTCCACTGGCTCGCCCTCGAAGCGACCAGGTAGCAGTAAGTGGGTATTAGTACTGCCTCACAGGCCTCATATAAATTACAGCTTCAGTCCCCTGCCGTCGCGTCCGAGAGGTTCGTGGGATCTCAACAACCCGGAGTGCAGCGTGTGGTCGGGAGTGATGGCAGGAGCGGCAATCGAACCGTCGCGGGAGAATCGTCGCAAACACCAACGCTCACCCAACGGAGACGACTGAATCGGTTGTTGGCACATATCTGTGCTATCAGTGAGAGTCGGACCAGCACACCATCGCGAGATTCCCTGATGCAGGTTGGGCTAGTTAAAGACACGGAGGATGGTAGACTTGGTTCGTTTGACGTTCCGACACAAGGCCGTTGTGTCCTTCCGTCGTGACCCACTGCGAACACAAGTTCCATGCAACTGTCAATTTTACGCAGCAGTCAAGGGGGCTTGGTCCTATAAGAGGGCCGAAGACTGATTACCGCCTTCCTGCCTTTACCGAAAGGGTAAACCACCGACGGACTCCGCGTAACTACCACGACCCCAAAGCCATCGACGAATGACTAGAACCACTACCAAACCAACACAAACTGACTAAGCTGACTGCCGAACCCAACTTCACACTACTTCACACTACCGACGCGTGTAACGGGTTTGTGAGTCGCACGCCCGCTCGTGCGAGATCGGAGCTCAGGGGCGCGGTAAGGGAGAAAGCTGGAGCGGCAACGAGTCAATTCGCACTTCCTAGTCCCACCACCCCCATATGCGAGAACACAACGTGGCTCTTTGTGCAGTTACTTATTTTTT